TATTACAGTTGTCCCATTTTTTTTCTCCCCTTTATTCTCCTCTGCCCTGTACACTCCCTCCCATGATCATTCTGCCACCTTAGTTCATGTCTATGGGTTACACATATTAAGTTCTTTGGCTTCTCCTTTTCCCATACTATTCATGCTCTCTTCCTATCTATTTTCTACCTACCATCTATGGTACTTATTCTCTATGTCTTTTCCGCCCTCTCTTCCCCTTTCACTCCCCTGTTGATAACCCTTCATGTGATCTCTACTTCTGTGAATCTGTTCCTGTTCTAGTTGTTTGCTTAGTTTCTTTTTGTTTTAAGTGTGGTTGTTAATAATTGTGAGTTTTCTGTCATTTTACTTTTCATATTTTTATCTTCTTTTTCTTAGATAAATCCCTTTAACATTTCATATAATAAGGGCTTGGTGATGATGAACTTCTTTAACTTGACCTTATCTGAGAAGCACTTTATCTGCCCTTCCATTCTAAATGAAAGCTTTGCTGGATAGAGTAATCTGGGATATAGGTCCTTGTCTTTCATGACTTGGAATACTTCTTTCCAGCCCCTTCTTGCCTGTAAGGTCTCTTTTGAGAAATCAGCTGACAGTCTGATGGGAACTCCTTTGTAGGTAACTGTCTCCTTATCTCTTGCTGCTTCTAGGATTCTCTGCTTCATTTTTGTCTTGGGTAATGTAGTTATGATGTGCCTTGGTATGTTCCTCCTTGGGTCCAACTTCTTTGGGACTCTCTGAGCTTTCTGAAAGTCTATTTCCTTTGCCAGATTGGGGAAGGTCTCCTTTATTATTTCTTCAAATAACTTTTCCACTTGTTCCTCTTCCTTTTCTCCTTCTGGTACCCGTATAATTTGGATGTTGGAATGTTACAAGATGTCCTGGAGGTTTCTAAGCCTGTCCTCATTTTTTTTGAATTCTTTCTTCATTCTGTTCTGGTTGAATGTTTCTTTCTTCCTTCTGGTCAACTCCATTGATTTGAGTCCCAGTTTCCTTTCCATAACTATTGGTTCCCTGTACATTTTCCTTTATTTCACTTAGTGTACCCTTCATTTTTTCATCGAATTTGTGACCAAATTCAACCAGTTCTGTGAGCATCCTGATCACCAGGGTTTTGAACTGTGCATCTGATAGGTTGGCAACCTCTTCATTGCTTAGTGATATTTTTTGTGGAGCTTTGATATATTCTTTCCTTTGGGCCATTTTTTTTTGTCTTGATGTATCTGTTATGTAGTGAGGGGCAGAGCCTTAGGTATTCACCAGAGTGTGGCAACCTATGTTGCTGTGTTGTGACACTCTATGTGGGAAAGAGGTCTGAGAGGGAACAATAGCACTTGCTCAGCTTTCTACTGGATTTCAGTCACTTTCCCTGCTTCTCACAAGGAAATTGGGCCCTTCTGGTGCTGATTCCCAGGTAGGTGGGTTTGTGTACATTCTAGGATCCTGTGGGTTGCTCCAGTGAACTCTCCTGTGAGTCTGGGAGTTTCTCCGGCACCTGAACCCCCACAGGTATTTTCAATCAGTGGTTTGAGGCTTTATTTCTCTGCTCTGGGACCTTGGGTTGAGTGGTCTGTCCCACTACCCAGTTTCGCCTGGTTTATCTGTGTGCAAATGTGGGACTGCCAGGTCTGCCAGCCACCTTGCGTGCCATGCCCCGTTCCACAATCTACCACCTCACTGGGTCCACCAGCTGCCGTCTTGTGGGCCAGTCTCTGACTCTTCTAGCAGCTGGATGAATCTGCCTTCTTTAACTCTTTGGTTGTCGAACTTCCATACAGTTCAATTTTCTGTCAGTTCTGTTTTTTTGTTTTTACATTGTTGTTGTCCTTGTTTTGGTTGGACAGTGTGTCTACCTATGCCTCCATCTTGGCCGGGAGTACTTATTGTTCCTATTTTTAATTTTCTTGTTCTTAGATAAGTCCCTTTGACATTTCATATAATAACCTCTTGGTGATGATGAGCACCCTTAACTTGACCTTATCTGGGAAGCACTTTATCTGCCCTTCTGTTCTAAATGATAGCTTTGCTGGATAGAGTAATCTTGGATGTAGGTCCTTGCTTTTCATGACTTTGAATACTTCTTTCCAGCCCCTTCTTGCCTGCAAGGTTTCTTTTGCGAAATCAGCTAACAGTCTTATGGGAATTCGCTTGTAGGTAACTGTCTCCTTTTCTCTCCCTGCTTTTAAAACTGTCATTCTGTCTTTAATCTTGGGTAATGTGATGATGATGTGCCTTGGTGTATGCTTCCTTGGGTCCAACTTCTTTGGGACTCTCTGAAATTCCTGGACTGCCCTGAAGTCTGTTTCCTTTGCCAGATTGGAGAAGTTCTCCTTCATTATTTTTTCAAATAAGTTTTCAATTTCTTGCTCTTCCTATCCCCCTTCTGGCACCCCTATGATTCTGATGCTGGAATGTTTAAAGTTGTCCCGGAGGTTCCTAAGGCTCTTCTTATTTTTTAAATTATTTTTTAAAAATATATTTTATTGATTATTCTATTACAATTGTTCCATTGCCCCCCTTTAATCCCTTCCACCCTGCACATCCTCTCTCACCCACATTCCCCTCCTTTAGTTTATGTCCATGTGTCATAAGTTCTTTAGCTTCTATATTTCCCCTCCCTCCTATTTGTGCCCTCCCTCTGTCTATTTTCTCCCTACCGTACATGCTACTTATTCTCTGTATTTTATCCCCCTCTCTCCTCCTCCCACTCCCCTGTTGATAACCCTCCATGTGATCTCCATTTCTGTTCCTGTTCTAGTTGTTTACTTAGTTTGTTTTTGGTTTTGTTTTAGGTGTGGTTGTTAATAATTGTGAGTTTTCTGTCATTTTACTATACATGTTTCTTATCTTCTTTTTCTTAGATAAGTCCCTTTAACATTTCATTTAAGAAGGGCTTGGTGATGATGAACTCCTTTAATTTGACCTTATCTGAGAAGTACTTTATCTGCCGTTCCATTCTAAGTGAAAGCTTTGGTGGATAGAGCAATCTTGGATGTAGGTCCTTGCCTCTCATGACTTGGAATACTTCTTTCTAGCCCCTTCTTGCCTGTAAGGTCTCTTTTGAGAAATCAGCTGACAGTCTGATAGGAACTCCTTTGTAGGTAACTGTCTCCTTATCTCTTGCTGCTTCTAGGATTCTCTGCTTCATTTTTGACTTGGGTAATGTAGTTATGATGTGCCTTGGTGTGTTTCTCCTTGGGTCCAACTTCTTTGGGACTCTCTGAGCTTCCCAGACTCCCTGGAAGTCTATTTCTTTCACCAGATTGGGGAAGTTCTCCTTTATTATTTGTTCAAGTAAGTTTTCCACTTGTTCCTCTTTCTCTTCTCCTTCTGGTACCCCTAGAATTCGGATGTTGGATTTTTCAAAGATGTCCTGGAGGTTTTTAAGCCTGTCCTCATTTTTTTGAATTCTTATTTTTTTATTTTTCGATTATATGTTTTTTTCTTCCTTCTGGTCCTCTCCATTGATGTGAGACCCAGCTTTCATTCCATCACTATTTGTTCCCTGTGCATTTTTCTTTATTTCACTTAATAAGTGAAATGTAGCCTTCATATGTAGCCAATTGTAGCCTTCATTTTTTCATCCAATGTGTGACCCAAATCAACCAATTCTGTGAGCATCTTGATCACCAGTGCTTTGAACTGTGCATTTGATAGGTTGGCTATCTCTCGGTTGCTTAGAAGTACTGATTCTGGGGCTTGCAATTCTGTTTGAGCCATCTTCTTTCCCCCTCTTTGGTCTGGTCAGGCCTGTTACTTATGAGGGGCACAGGCTTACGTGTTCACATGGCAGGGCACCCCACTCATTGGGTTGTGACGCTGTATGTGGGGGTGGGTTTCAAGAGGGAACAATGGCACTTTCTCTGCCCTCTGTTGGACCTCAGTCCCTTCCGCCACTTCCCCAGAACAAACTGGGCCCCTCTGGTGCCAATTCCCATGTGAGTGGGCTTGTGCACCCTGTGGGACTTTCCAAGGACCTCTCCTGTGAAGCTGGGAGTCTCTCCCTGTGCCTGAACTTCCACAGGTGTTTTCAATCAGTGTCCCGAGACTCTTATTTCCTAGTGCTGTGATCCTGGTTTGCACGCAGTGCCTTGCTTCATAATCCCTGCCTTGCTTCACAAATGCCACCTTGCTGAGTCTGCTGGTTGCCACCCCTTGGCCAGGGTCTGCCAGCTGCTGCTTGCACACTCAGGGTCCACCCACTGCGGTCTTGTGCGCCCCGGATGCCTTACACACCCGGTCCCAATGCTGTCTGCTCCCTGTGCCACGACCCGCACTAGGCTGCCTGCCTCCGCCCCTCCTACCGGTCTGGATGAATGTGTTTATTTTAACTTCTTGGTAGTCTGACTTCCATACAGTTCAATTGTCTATCCGTTCTGGTTGTTATTCTATTTCTAAATTGTTGTTGTCCTTAACTTGGTTATGCGATGAGATGCAGTGTGTCTACCTATGCCTCCATCTTGGCCAGAAGTCTACATTGAAGCTTAACTTTTAAACCATGGTTTTTGTGTATATTTTTCTTTTCTACAGTAAGTAGAAAAATAATTTCTTTATTTTTATGACATAAGTGTTTTTCATTTTGTGATGTTACCAGATATGCTGATTCCAAGACAAATGGGCATCTCCTGAGAATTAATATAGCAAAGCTGGATTCTCTGGGCAGGAAAACTCTTGTTTTTGCAGATTGCAAACTCTGTCATAGAAAGTTTTTGGTATCTTACCTAAAATCACACAGATGTAAATGTGGTCATAAAATTCTGCTTACTGTTTGTTCATTTCAGAACTCATTTATTTCAGATGTTAAAAATAATGGACATAAGCTATGATCATCTTACTGCATTTACATAACTCCTTTCATTTTTGAGTACCTACTGACTTTGCAAAGTAGTTATAAGAAGTATGTATGATTTTTAAATATTCCTGTTGGTTATTTAGAGTCCTTTATCATTCATGGTACCTGTTTGGTTCTGAATCTCGTTTCCCTTTTGTTTCCTTTCTAGTTGGAGGAGAGCAGATAAGTGCCATTGGACAGGGCATCTGTGTTTTGTTGGGCATTTCTCTGGAAGATACTCATAAGGAACTGGAGCACATGTAAGTTGTGGATTTCTAAGTCATTGCTCTTTGAATGGGATATGTGATGGTTATATGTAATATATACATACACACACACATAGTAGGAACTTCTATAGGATTTTGTTCCTATAAAGTAAGCCCATGTAACTTTTATCATTGTGACATTTGATGTTGTATGTTTATCTCATCTGTGTTCCAGATGAGGAGACTGAGAAAGAAGAATCTGTTAAATGTCATCCACTAAGTGAGCAGCAGAGCTGGAGTACAATTAGTCTGTGTCTCTATTTGTTGCTGCATCTGTGAACCATTCTCTTAATGCAAAAAACAAGCCTCTTTTCTTATGAATAATTTGTTTTTTAATTTTTTAAAAGATTTATTTATTTATTTTTAGAGAGGGAATGGAGAGAGAGAGAGAGAGAGAGAGAGAGAGAGAGAGAGAGAGATCAATGTGTGGTTGCTGGGGGCCATGGCCTGCAACCCAGGCATGTGCCCTGACTGGGAATCGAACCTGCGATGCTTTGGTTCACAGCCCGTGCTCAATCCACTGAGCTACACCAGCCAGGGCTGTTTTTTGATTTTTTAAAAAATATTTTATTGATTATGCTATGATAATTATTTCAATTTTTCTTCCTTTGCTCCCTCCATCCAGCACCCCTGTTCCCTCTGGTGATTTCCTTCTTTATTCCCGGGTGGGTCATGCATATAAATTCTTTGGCTACTCCTTTTCCAATACTGTTCTTAACTTTCCCCTATTTTATACCTACCATTTTTTTACCTCTTAATCCCTGCACTGTTTCCCCTGTTCTCCCCCTTCCCAACTGATAATCCTCCAAATGGTCTCTATACCTATGATTCTTTTTCTGTTCTGCTTGTTTACTTAGTTTTCTTTTTAAAATTCAGTTCTTGATAGTTGTGAATTTATTGCTATTTTAACGTTCATAGTTTTGATCTTCTTTTTCTTAAATAAGTCCCTTTTAACATTTCTTATAATAAGGGCTAGGTGATGATGATTTCCTTTAGTTTTACCTTGTCAGGGAAGCACTTTATCTGCCCTTCAATTCTAAATGATAACTTTGCTGGATAGAATAATCTAGGTTGTAGATCCTTGCTTTTCATCACTTTGAATACTTCTTTCTAGCCCCTTCTAGCCTCCAAAGTTACTTTTGAGAAATCTCCCAACAGTCTTATGGGAACTCCTTTATAGTTAGCTCTCTGCTTTTCTCTTGCTGCTTTTAAGATTCTGTCTTTGTTTTCAACCTTTAGCATTTCATTATGATGTATCTTGGTGTGTTCCTTTCTTGGTCCATCTTCTTTGGTATTCTCTGTGCTTCCTGGACTTGTATGTCTATTTCCTTCACCAAATTAGGGAAATTTTCTTTCACTATTCTTTCAAATAAAATTTCAATTTATTGCTCTTCCTTTTCTCCTTCCAACTCCCCTATGATTTAGATGTTGGTACATTTGAAGATGTCTGGAGAACCTATCCCTTCTTTGAATTCTTTTTTCTTTTTACTGTTTTGATTGAATATTTTTTTCTTCCTTGTGTTCTGAATTGTTGATTTGATTATTGGCTTCATCCCCTCCATTGTTGATTCCCTATGCATTTTTCTTTATTTCACTTAATGTAACCTTCATTTCTGCCTGTGTCTTTTTTATGTTGTTGAAGTATCCAATGAGTTCCTTGAGCATCCTGGTAACCACTGTTTTGAACTGTACATCTGATAAATTGTTTATCTCCATTTCATTTAGTTCTTTTTCTGGAATTTTGTTCTGTTGTTTCATTTTGCCTATGTTTCTTTGTCTCCTCCTTTTGTCAGCTTTCCTATGTTTATTTCTGTGTATTAGGTAGAACTGCTTTGACTCCCTATCTTTTTAGCGTGGCTTATTATAGAAAAGCACACCTGTTTGGATAATAGTGGCTTCTTTAAATCCTTGGTTGTTGGACTTCCACACAGCCTGATTCTCTGGAGTTTCTGGGTGATATTTGTTGTGTAGTCTAGTTGTAATTTTTGCCCTAGTTGTGCAAGGAGGCAAGTTGTGTTTACCTACACCTCCATCTTGACCAGAAGTCTAATCCTCATCTGGCAGCACCATTCTTCCAAAAAGGTCTGCAAAGCCTGCTTTTTAATTTAAGAAATATTATCTAGTATTCTTTATACATTTTTAAAATGCTCAGTTCTTCATTGTACATATAAGGATTTGTATCTCAGAGAGGTTAATTACTTTCTCAAAGTTACATGTACATACTTATCTAAAAGCCCAAATCCAAATTAGAATCTAGGCTACCTGACCTCAACCAGTGCTCTCTTTACTAATGTTAGCAGGGTTTGTCATCGCTGTTGCTTGACTGGCTGTCTTGTATGGGCAGCTTCTCCCTCCCCATGTTTTACCCCCGCTTGTGCCTTCCCCTACTCTAGCACCACTTGACATACTTACTTTAGATACTCAGATCTGTTTATTCTACTCTTTGGTATCCAGACCCAGAGTATAATCCCACCCAGTTGTCCCTTTTGTGTTAGGTTGAAAATCAGGCTTGGAACCCAATTCCTGCTAAGGTGCTAATGACTGATAAGGATAGTTTATTACCACTTTAGGGATGTTGGCATTTTAATAACTGTGCCCTGGATACTCAAGACAGTAGAGGGGTGTAGTGGTTAAAAATTGGGGTTCTGGGTCTGAATGCCTTTATGGCTTTGATATTACAGAGAGCTAATACTTATCTTGGTGGTTGAGAGGTTTGACTCAAAGCAAGACAAACCTTGGCTGTGGAGGGAGGGTGATGAAAAGTGCCCACCACACTGAGTACAGAGTCAGTGAATTACTATTTCTATAGCTGTTGAACATGTCTTCAACAACATCCAAAAAGATGACTCTCCACAGGTGGAATTTCAACTTTCATGAAGGTCATTCTTTATCATGCTTTTAAAATATGATCTTATAAATGTTACCTACCCTTCTTCCTTGCCAAAGGTGGCTATCCCTTGTCATTCACATGTATAGGGAAAACACCTCTAGGACTTAAGGAACATGTGAAATAGTTGTTAAGCTGTCTTTCTCCAGAACTTTTTGCATATTGGCAGTTACTCTTAAGTTTTCTCCAGGGTATTTGTTGAATTGTTCATTTTGAGTAGCTCCAACAAGGGGTGTAAACATGGGGTACCATTTATTCCAATATAAAGATTGAATTGTTCTATAGACAATTAGAATTGGATACATGTTTTGATGTAACCCCAACTTGAAGGAGAAGATAGTGGGTGGTTGTCATCTGGGCTCCATTTCCCACTGGCAGTTGCTGTGAATTGGAGGGTTGACCAAAAGAAAAAAAAAAAAGAAAGAAAAAAAGGAAAAAAAAGGAAATTCCTAAACAACCCCAGGAGGTAGGATCATTATTGCCTCCTATTATGGATGAGAAAATGGAAGCACAGAGTGGAAAGTAACTTGCCCAAGGTAACACTATCTATAAGCAATGGAGTCAGCATTATGTTCTTGTTTGGCAGGATAATGGTGACATTTGGAGGGTGTGGAATGTTTGGGGGCTCATGATTCCTCAGGTAGTTTTCATTGCTATTTTTCTCCTTAGGGTCCGAAAGATTTTAAACTTACGTGTGTTTGAGGACGAGAGTGGGAAGCACTGGTCGAAGAGTGTGATGGACAAACAGTACGAGGTGTTATGTGTCAGCCAGTTCACCCTCCAGTGTGTCCTCAAGGGCAACAAGCCTGACTTCCACCTGGCAATGCCCACGGAGCAGGCAGAGAATTTCTACAACAGCTTCCTGGAGCAGCTGCGCAAGGCATACAGGCCAGAGCTCATCAAAGGTAGGCAGGAGAGTCTTGGGGACATTACTGGATAGGGGAAAAAGAAGAATCTACAACTGCAAACTCTCCTTTTCAGGAAAGTTCATTGTTTATGCTTATTACTTATTTAAAACAACATAATGGCTGCTGCCACTGCTTGTTGCTGTACATGTCCTCTGAATGACCCAGACAACATTTACTCTCCTTCCTTCCTTCCTTCCTTCCTTCCTTCCTTCCTTCCTTCCTTCCTTCCTTCCTTCCTTCCTTCCTTCCTTCCTTCCTTTATTGTTATTGTTGTTCAGGTACAGTTGTCTCCATTTTCCCTCTACCACTCCCCCCGCCCCACCCATCCCCACTTCCCACCCTTGATCCTAACTCCCTTTCGCTTTGTCCATGGGGCTTTCATACATGTTCCTTGATGATCCTTCTCTTTCCCCCCATTATTCCCCTTCCCCCTTCCCTCTGATTACTGTCAGTTACTTCTTTATTTCAATGTCTCTGGTTATATTTTGCTTGCTTGTTTGTTTTGTTGATTAGGTTCCACTTATAGGTGAGATCATATGGTATTTGTCTTTCACTGCCTGGCTTATTTCACTTAGCATAATAGTCTCCAGTTCCATCCATTTGGACATGAAGGGTAGGAGCTCCTTTCTTTCTGCTGTATAGCATTCCATTGTGTAAATGTACCATAGTTTTTTTATCCACTCATTTACTGATGGTTACTTAGGTTGCTTCTAGCATTTGGCTGTTGTAAATTGTGCTGCTATGAACATTGGGGTGCATAGGTTCTTTTGAATTCAGGATTCTTAGGGTATAATCCCAGCAATGTAATTGCTGGGTCAAAAGGCAGTTCCATTTTTAGTTTTGTGAGGAAATTCCATACTGTTTTCTACAGTGGCTGCACCAGTCTGCATTCCCATCAACAATGTAATAGGGTTCCCTTTTATCCACAACTTCATGAGCACTTGTTTGTTGCATTGTTTATGATGGCCATTCTGACCGGTGTGAAGTGGTATCTCATTGTGATTTTAATTTTCATTTCTCTGATATCTAGTGATGCTGAGTCTCCTTTCATATGTCTCTTGGCCCTCTGTATGTCCTTGGAGAAGTATCTGTTCAGGTACTTTGACATTTATTGATTGGGTTGTTTGTCTTCCTGGAATGGAGTTGTGTGAGTTCTTTATATATTTTGGAAATCAAATTTTTATCTGATATGTCATTGGCAAATATGTTTTCCCATACAGTTGGTTCCCTTTTCATTTTCCTGATGTTTTCTGTAGCCATGCAGAAGCTTTTTATTTTGATATAGTCCCATTTGTTTATTCTTTCCTTTATGTCCCTTGGTCTCAAGGACATATTGGTGAAAATATTGCTGCATGGAATGTCTGAGATTTTTCTGCCTATTTTCTCCTCTAGGACTTTTATGGCATTGCAACTTAATATTTAAGTCTTTTATTCATCTTGAGTTTATTTTTGTGTAAGGTGTAAGCTGGTGGTATTGGTGCATTTTTTTTTGCATGTAGCTGTCCAGATCTCCCAATACCATTTGTTGAGAGGCTATTTTTACTCCATTTTATGCTTCTTTCCACTTTGTTGAATATTAATTGACCATAGAGACTTGGGTTTATTTCTGGGCTCTCTGTTCTGCTCCATTGGTCTGTGTCTCTTCGTATGCCAGTACCGGCCTGTTTTGAATACAATAGCCTTGTAATATAATTTGATATCAGGTATTGTGATCCTTCTTTGTTCTTCTTTCTCATAATTGCTGCAGCTGTTCCTGGTAGTTGATGGTTCCATGTAACTTTTTGAAATGTTGGTTGAAATATGTCATTGGCATTTTAATAAAGATTGCTTTGAATCTAAAAATTTCTTTGGGTAAAGAAGCTGGACCCAAGGAGGAAAACACAAAGGCACATCATAATTACATTCCCCAAGATGAAAGGTAAGGAGAGAATCTTAAAAGCAGCAAGAGAAAAGGAGACAGTTACCTACAAAGGAATCTCCTTAAGACTGTCATCTGACTTTTCAAAAGAAACCTTGCAGGCAGGAAGGGGCTAGAAAGAAGTATTCAAAGTCATGAAAGGCAAGCACCTACATCCAAGAATACTCTATCCAGCAAAGCTATCATTTAGAATGGAAGGGCAGATAAAGTGTTTCCTAGATAAGGTCAAGTTAAAGGAGTTCATCATCACCAAGCCCTTATTATATGAAATGTTAAAGGGATTTATTTATCTAAGAAAAAGAAGATAAAAATATGAAAAGTAAAATGACAGAAAACTCACAATTATTAATGACCACACCTAAAACAAAAACAAAAACAAACTAAGCAAACAACTAGAACAGGAACAGAAGCACAGAAATGGAGATCACATGGAAGGTTATCAACAGGGGAGTGGGAGGAGGAGAGAGGGGGGAAAGTACAGAGAATAAGTAGCATTGATGGTAGGTAGAAAATAGATGGGGAGGGCAAGAATAGTATGGGAAATGTAGAAGCTAAGGAACCTATAAATATGACACATGGCCATGAACTAAAGGAGGAGAATGTGGGTGGGAGGGGGTGCAGGGTAGAGGGGAGTGAAGGGGGAAAATTGGACAACTGTAATAACATAATCTGTAAAATATATTAAAAAATTTCTTTGGGTAGTGTGGACATTTTAATGATGTTAATTCTTTCTATTCATGAAGATGGTATATGCTTCCATTTATTCTTGTCTTCCTTCATTTCTGTTTTCAGTGTTGTGTAGTTTCTGAGTATAGGTCTTTTACCTCCTTGGTAAGATTTATTCCTAGGTACTTCATTTTTCTTGTTGCTATAGCAAGTGGGATTTTTTCCCTAATTCCTGTTTCTGATATTTCAGTTTTGGTGTGCAAAAATGCTTTTCAATTTCTGAATATTAACTTTGTATCCTGTTATTTTGCCAAATTCACTTAATAGGTTGAATACTTTTTTTGTGGCACCTATAGGATTTTGTATATACACAATCATGTCATCTGCAAACAGTGGCAGTTTTGTTTCCTCCTTTCCAATTTGGAAGCCTTTTATTTCTTTTTCTTGTCTGATTGCTGTGGCTAGTACTTCCAAAAGTGTATGAATAGAAGTGGTGAAAGCGGGCACCCTTGTTTTTTCATGAGCTTGGTGGGAAAGCTTTTAGTTTTTGCGTATTGAATATTATGTTAGCTGTAGGTTTCTTGTATATGGCCTTTATTATGTTGAAGTATGCTCCCTCTACTCCTACTTTGCTGAATGTTTTACCATAAATGGGTGCTGTACCTTATTAAATGATTTCTCTGCATCTATTGATATAACCATGTGATTTTTGTCTTTCCTTTTGTTTTGTGATGTTTTACATTGATTGATTTGAGAATATTGTACCATCCTTGTGTCTCTAGGTTAAATCCTACTTGATCATGCTATATGATCTTTTTAATGTATTGCTGGGTGTGGTTTGCCTATATTTTGTTGAGTATTTTAACATCTGTGTTCATGAGCCATGTTGGCCTGTAGTTTTCTCTCTTTGTTGTGTCTTTGTCTGGTTTTGGGATTAGGATGATGCTTGCTTCATAAAAAGAGTTTGGATGCAAGAATGTTTTAGAAAAGTGATAAGTGAATATGAGATGTCTATAGTAAAGAAAATGATTTTGAGGAAATGGGGGAAACAAACTAATAAGAGTAAGGAGTAAAGCTCAGGCTGAAAGAGGGGAGAAAAGAAAGAAGAAAAAAGAGAGAGAGAAAACAATGAGATAAAATTCCTTACTGAAGTCTTCAAGGGAAGGTGGAATGTAGTAAGACAGCAGAAGAGTATTCTAGAGTATGGGATTTAAAGTACTAACAAGTAGTGAACAAATAGGAGATCCTTTGGAGAAATACAACTATAACCATGATATTTCATTCAACTGGCCACTTTGTATAAAAGATAAAAAAGAGATACGATTCTTAGAAGGGAAAAAGAATGTGAGCTGACTTTAGTAAGCACAGTGCTTACATGAGGTTAGATGGAGGAGAAATAGTGAGAGTAAGGGATAGAAACTTGGTGTAGTGTGGGAGAAAATAAAGTTAACCACAGCAGTAGTAAAGTTCAGGAAGATGGTGAAATGAATTAAGACCAGGGAGGGTGCTGTGTGGGATTTGTAATAACAATAGTATGATAAGAAATATGTAATCTGTGTAAAAAGAATAAAAAGTAAAAGACTAAGTAAGAGTAGTGTGTTATTGGAATATGAGTGAAGTGAAAGAAAAAACTTAAAATGCAATATGAAAGGGAGAATAAAGAAAACAAATCAAACAAACAAAAGAAAACAAAAAACACTAATTAAATGGGAAGAGGAGAAATAAAAAAAAACATGCAAGTCCTGAAGGATAGCAAAGTGAAATTTGTCTCAGCTCTTGTTTGCCTTCTGACTTCTTTCTGGATTGCTCTGATTTTCTTACAGCTCCAGGTTTTCTTGTCTTACTCTTGGAAGAAAAAAAAAAGCCTCCTGCTGACTGTAAACCTGCCAAGGGGGGTTTGCAGGTCTTCCCAGATCCTGCAGGCTAGTGGGACTGGGCTCTCTTTTTTCTTTTCCTGTGGTTCTGAGAGGATGGGGTTCAATCTGGGCTAGAATAATCACAGATGCCCAGTTTTCCAGCCCATGCCAGGTTTTGCAACCCTTTGGTCAGTCAGTGAGGTGCACCGAGTGGGAGCAAATTGCGCCCCCACTCCTCCCTCTTTGCTGGCCTTTCAAACAGAAAGAAACAAGTGAGATTAATTTTAAAACTGTATTTTATTTAGCCTAATGTATCTAAAATATTATGGTTTCATCCTGTAATTAATATAAAAGGTTACTGAGATTATTTATATATATTTGGGTTTTTTTTGTACTAAAGTCTTCTAAATGGTGTGTAGTTTATACTTATAGCAAATCTGAATTTGGACCAGTGACATTTCAAGTGCCCAATAGCTGTGAGTAGCCAATAGCTGTGCTATAGACATGTAGGTTTAAGTCTTTGTTTATTACCTGCATATTGTTAAGAATGCCAACCT